GATGCGCTGTGGCTGGGGAACCCGGTGATTTCTGGGAGATCTCCAGGCCCCACAGAGAGATTGGCAACTCCAGTGACCATTTAAGGGAAGACTGGGATATGTATTTTGCCAACTCCAGTGACCGTTTAAGGGAAAATTGGGATACGTATTTTACCTCAGGACACATTCAATGACTCCCAACAGCAATAACAATCTGTTTAGAATGTTAGAGGCCAAGGCCAATCAGGCCACATATGCAAATGACCTCTGTGTTCCGACTGGCTACTGGGGAGAGAGGAACAGCAAACTGTTTAGAATATTGGAGGCGAGACTCAGGCAACACAGCCAGTGGATGGGGACAGCTTCTGAGTGACAGATCAGGGAGCCAACTGATTTGGGAGCGTGTGGAATGTTCAGGAGAGTCCATGACCAAAACAGAATTATTATATAGAGAGATTTTTTATATTCTATCAAAATCATTTACTTTTCTAGTTTTGTATTTTTGTACACGGTGTTTTCTTTGTTTTGGATGAAGAAAAACAGGACAGATCTTCAGATCTCAGAAGCTAAGCAGGATCAGCCCTGGTTAGTACTTGGAGGGGAGACCACCAAGGAAGTCCAGAGCGGCTACGTTACACGTAAACTACAGATGTGAACCTGAACCCTGCCTGGTCTGCAAGTTTCTCACTCCCCCCCCCACCCCACCCCCAGCCCAAATTCTCCATATACAAGAATGCTAATGGGACACTCTTTAGCAATGCCTCGGCGGGAAGAGAGGGGTAGAAATCCAATAAATAAATAAATAGCCACTGATATCAAATATTTATTTATTTATTCAAAATTGTGCCCTGCCCTCCCAGCCCAAGGCCGGCTCAGCTACCCTCTTGCATCATTTCGGGTCCCCAAACTTCATCTTGTAGGGAGATGTCAGACCCATGTTAGGATTGAGTTGAATGAGAAAGTGTTATTTATGGGAATTCTGGAAAACAATACAGTAGATCGATCCAAAAAGGATTTATTTAAAGCTATGATTCTAGCGGGTCATGCGGTAATGGCATGTGGATGGAAAGATGCATTAAAATGGGCTTTGGAAAGATTGGATTGGGACTTACATTAATGGTTTCAATCAGATATTTTACTGATACTAAAACAGGAAAAGACACGGGAAGATAAGGCGCTGGAGATAAGGAAGAAATGGTTTAGGTATGTAAGATGGGTGAGAGAAAGGGGTGGGGGCCCAATAATGATGTATTGGTAAAACTCCATAGGGTGTGCTTATGGTTGCAGATATAATAATAAGGGTTTCCTCCCCCCCTTTCAATTGGTCGCTCGTGTGAGGGGGGGAGGGAGTAATAAAGGGGAAATTGATGTACTTGATGTTTGGTTAAGCAAACCTGATGAAAAGGATTATGTAAGGATATAAAATGGAAGATATCAATACAAATTAAAAAATTAATTAAAAAAAAAGAGAGAGAGAGAGAGATGTCAGACCTAAGTCCAATGCTAGTGAACCGAAAGAATAAATGGGGCCGGGATCCAAAGCCACAGGTAGCCTTCAGTTAAATTATTAGGGATGGGACTTCTGGCCAGTCATATGCATTCCAAGTGGCTCTTCCCAGCCAAGCAAGCAAAGATAAGCTTTGCTTTTAACATCTCCTGCTTTTCTTTCCACAAGGCCACACGCCCCTGAGCCTCTAGAACTGGACACCGTGACCTGCAGACCTTTTTCTTGGTGCATAGCCAAGCCTGGTGAGATGCAGAGGAAAGAGCGAGAGTGGAGTGGGTGTACGTACCTTACAGGCTTCGGGTAGAGTATGCCGCTGGGGGCCTGGCTGGTGCTCTCGTAGCCTGAAGCGGATGCAAGCTCCGAGAGGGAAGCCTCCAACCCGAACTCGAGAGCTCCAAACTGCACGTTTAACCCGGACACGTCAGTGGATCCGGGCATCTCCACGGCAGAGGACGGAATCTGAGAAAATCGAAAAGGCCATTCATGCCAACCCATCAAAAACGGCACCTTTCTGCTCTCGGGATGCTGTCGTACCCGAGAAAGATGAATACAGCATACAAAACACAGAAAGGGTCAGGCTTTCGGAAAAGTCCTTGGCTTCTAAAAATCGGTTGTGTTTACTGTCAATGAGTGAATAGCACAGATTCCACATTATTATTATCATTATCATTATTATATGAGCCTCAATGGCAAACAACATCCTCATCTCCACAAGCAGAGTTTATAGCTATCTCTGTACTCGGATGGGAGAGACCACCGAGGAATACGAGGGATGCCACATAGAGGCGGGAAAGTGCAAACCACCTCTGCTGGTCCCTGCCCTGACCGAAACCTAGATGGCCCCGGCCAGCCCGATCTCGGCAGATCTCGGAAGCTAAGCAGGGTCGGCCCCGGTCACTACTTGGACGGGAGACCACCCAGGAAGCCCAGTGCTGTGACACAGAAGCAGGCAATGGCAAAAACCACCTCCGCTGCTCGTCTCTTGCCTTGCAAACCCCACGGGGTCGACGTTAGTCGGCCTTCGGCTTCACAGTACTTTCTAGATGGCCACCTGACAGCAGTGCGGATCCGGTGAACTGAGGCAGAGCAGGAGAGGGAGGGCAGGACGGGTTGCCTCAGTGCATAGTTGCCTCAGTGCATAGTTCTCGTGGCCCTTTCTTACACGCCCAGGGAAATGCTGATGGCCACTTTAGTTTTTTTGTCCCTCCGTGGGGGATTTTTTTAATTTGCATTTTCTATAAACTACAAAAAAATAAGGAAAGGTAACTACAAACTACAGGTGAAAGTAAAGAAAAACGACAAAAAACCCAAGAGATGGTGGTCATACACAATGCTTACAACCAGGGGTCATTTCCTGCAGGAGCGCATAGGAGCGGAGCTCCGGCAGTAAAGAGCCCAGGGGGTGGGCACATGCAACGAGCCCCACCCCCTGCTCCCAGCAGCCCTCAGTCAGAGCAAGAAGCAGCCAGGTAGGTTGCGGAGCCCCCAGGCCCAAAACAGTCCAGTGGCACCTTTAAGACCAAGGTTTATTCAGGTAGAGCGGAGGGTGTTGCCTTCTGACACACATCCAGTGATGTCAGGGGGTGTGGCATATGCAAATAAATTATGCTAATGAGTTATGCTAATGAGCTCCTGCACCTCTTTTTCTACGAAATGACCCCGGCTTACAACATTAGCTTCTAGTTAAATAAGCTTATACTTTGCTACGTTAAGTGAGTACACAATTCTTATGGCTCGTATTAGAATCCCCAACAAATCTGACTATATAAAGATCTCTATGGAGAAATGATTTAAATTCGTTTAAAACAGAATCTAGAGAACAATCACAACTCATTTTTTATCCTTTTTGTTTCTCAATCGGCAGCTTAATTTAGGGGCGGCCGTCCCCCGTTCAGAAACTGAGTCGTCATCAGAAGGTGCCAGTCCTCCTGCTTCTGATGGCCACTTTGGGGGTCCGGAAGCAATCCTGGAGGTTTCGCGGTCATCTTCTGGGCGTGGGACAGCGGTCACCGCACGAGTGGTGTGCAAGTGGAGGAGTGGGGAATCAAACCCGGTTCTCCCAGATTAGAGTCTGCATACTTAACCACTACACCAAACTGCATGAGTACCTTTATCGCCCAGCTGCTTAAACTGGGTTTTTAGGTGGTGTGCAAACAAACCCGACTTTAGGGCTGGTGCAGTCATCGCAAGAGTAAAAATCATCCTTGCAGCTGCGATTTTAGCAGATTACATCAGCAAGGGCCATCTTTTAATTGGCAAGGGCACGTTTTAATTGGCAGGGTTACAACCTAAGGGCATACTTGTTTGTCTCTCTGTACTATTTTGGTTCTGGGGTGCTACAGTAACCAAGAACAAAAGGAAGAAAACATCTGAAGATGGCCTTTCCTTCTAACGAAGAGTGTCAGCCTTGTGCCCATTAAATCGCCCCTTTGTGCTGCTCATCCCTTCGTTATCTCAAAAAAAGAAGAAGGCAACAACATTGAGGACTTGGTAATAGGTGGATAAATTTAATTGATCTCTTATACTTAGGCAGGACGAAGTCGACAGCTTGACTTAATCGATGCCCGTGCTGATTTACGCAATCCCTCTGGTTTGTCACCCACCTTGGAAGCTGGTGGGATCTTCCGTTTGGGTGGCTTCATCTGTTTCTGCGGCGTCTGATGGGCGGGCAACATCTGGCTTTCTGCAGACAGGCTGGGAAGGAGCAACAGTTTGCCGGCCGCCGCGGGGCTGTCTACGGGTGACGGCTCTCGGGCCTTTACCTGCGGAGTGAAGGATTCCAGTCCGGGAGGCGGGGCGGGAACCGCCTGCGTCTGCTGCTGCTGCTGCCGCTGTGTTAACTGGCTCAGAACCGGGGATGGCTCAGGCTGGGATTTGAAATCTAGGCACCATTGGCAAGGGAGAACAAAGGGGGGGGGGAAGTCATCACTCAGTCCAGCATGTTAGAGCTCCACCTGGTGCAGCAGAACTGACACTCTGCACTGCACGAGGGCAAAGGTGTTGTGTGTTTTAAATTTCAGGAGTCTGGCAGCACCCTGAAGACTAACAAGATTTTACTCCAGCATAAACTTTTGGTGATTAAAGCATTTTACTCATTTATTTACGCTATCTATAGTTTGCCTTTCTCACAAGACTGAAGAAGAGGAAGAAGAAGAGGAGTTTGGATTTATACCCCCGCCCATCACTCGGCGTCTCAGAGTGGCTTACAGACTCCTCTCCCTTCCCCTCCCCTCAACAGACACCCTGTGAGGTTGGTGGGGCTGAGAGAGCGCTTTCCAGAACTGCTCTTGAGAGAACAGCTCTGACAAAACTATGGCTTGCCCAAGGTCATCCAGTAGCTGCAAGTGGAGGAGTGGGGAATCAAACCTGGTTCTCCCAGATTAGAGTCCGCACGCTTAACCACGACACCAAACTGGCGCAAACTAAAATACACAGAGCGAGTCAAGACAATCGACGGATGCGACATTCAGTCAACAGTGCAATAACATTAGGGGTGTAGAACCAACCAGAAGACTGAGAACAGAACTGAAGCAAAGCACCACTGTTAACATGACACATTAAGTGATGCAAAACTCCAGAGTAGGCTCCGATTTATGGCAAGGTATACACAGTAGTGTGGACCACAGTCCCTAATGATTTGTCCAGGTAACTTTGTGAATCATTTTGTACAGTGCGGCCCCATTGCCTGCGTGGAAAAGCCCTCTAGAATACTTCAGTTTTGCATAGTCTGTGGAAAGCCCAGAGCGTGAGAGCCTTCCTGGCCTTCTCAGGCAGGCTGTTCCACAAGGTGGGGGTCGCAATGGGGGAGGCACGTGTACAGGCACTTGTTCATTTCGCCCATCTGCCTGTTGGCCGCCGCATAAGACCCTGTGTGTTCTGATCCTTATCCACAAAACTTTATACTGGAATAGAAGCTTAGCAACAAGGTGCCACCATACCTCTCTTAACCGTGGCTGTAACAGAACAGCACGGTTACCCCTCTGAAACAGGAACAGTGGTGCACTGGGAAGAAGAGGAGGAAGAGGAAAAGAGAGGAGGAGACTGGATTTATACCCCGCCCTTCACTCGGAATCTCAGAACAGCTTACAGTCTCCTTTCCCTTCCCCTCTCCACAACAGACACCCTGTGAGGTAGGTGGGGCTGAGAGAGCTCTTTCAAGAACTGCTCTTGACAGAACAGCTCTGAAAGGACTTGTGGCTGACCCAAGGTCACACCAGTAGCTGCATGTGGAGGAGTGGGGAATCAAACCCGGTTCTCCCAGATTAGAGTCTGCGTTCCTAACCACTACACCAAACTGGCTCTCTGGAAAAATAATTTTACAGGGGAAAGCGCGAACGCAGTCCCCCACTACCACAAATTATGCACTTGAGTTTCCCGCATTTGGGGAAATCGCAGGGGTCAGCACACCTGGATTGCAACGGATGAGCCTCACTCTTGGAAAACTGCCTTCGTGAGACAGTTTGGTGTAGTGGTTAAGTGCGCGGACTCTAATCTGGGAGAACCAGGTTTGACAAGCGGACAACTCCTCTGCTTGTACCTGCTGGATGACCTTGGGCAAGCTGTAGTTCTGGCACAGCTGTTCTTGAAAAAGAGCAGTTTCTGTCAAGAGCTCTCTCAGCCCCACCTACCTCACAGGGTGTCTGTTGTGGGGAGGGGAAGGGAAAGTAGTTTGTAAGCCGCTCTGAGACACCTTTGGGTAGTGAAGGGTGGGGTATAAATCCAATCTCTTCTCTTTTTCTTCTTCGTGATCGAGGGGTCTCCCCTGCCAGGTAGGGAACTGGACTATGATCTGGGAAATACCCACTCCGTCACGGAAGCTCGTTGGGTGACCTTGGGTGGGTGGCACTTACATGCTCACAGCCTAGCCTACCTCACAGGGTTGTTGTGAGGATAAAATGGAGAAATGGAGAGACAGTGTAGTGAAGTGGCTAGTGTCACACTAGGATCTGGCAGAACCAGGTTCGAATTCCCACTCTGCTGTGGAAGTTGGCTAGGTGACCTTGGGCCAGCCACACACTCACAGCCTGGCCTATCTCGCATAAGACCATAAGAGGCACCAATGTTGGATCAGGCCAAAGGCCCATCCAGTACAACACTCTGCATCACACAGTGGTCATAAATACCAGCTGCCAACAGGAGGTCCACCAGTGGGGCCAGGACATTAGAAGCCCTCCCACTGTTGCCCCCCCCCCCAGCACCAAGAATACAGAGCGTCAGTGGCCCCAGACTGAGAGTCCCTGTCTATATCTTGTGGCTAAATAAGAACATAAGAGAAGCCAGTGTTGTATCAAGCCAATGGCCCATCTAGTGCAACACTCTGTATCACCCAGTGGCCAAAGATACCAGGGGCCCTCAGGAGGTCCAGCAGTGGGGCCAGGACACTAGGAGCCCTTCCACTGTTGCCCCCCCCCCAAGCACCAAGAATACAGAGCATTACTTGCTCCCAGACCGAGAGTTCCTGTCTATACCTTGTGGCTAATACCCACTGATGGACCTCTGCTCCATATAAGAACATAAGAGAAGCCAATGTTGGATCAGGCCAAAGGCCCATCCAGTCCAGCACTCTGTCACACAGTGGCCAAAAATACCAGGTGCCAACAGGAGGTCCACCAGTGGGGCCAGGACATTAGAAGCCCTGAGAGTTCCTATCTATACCTCGTGGCTAGTAGCCACTGATAGACCTCTGCTCCATATAAGAACATAAGAGAAGCCAACGTTGGATCAGGCCAAAGGCCCATCCAGTCCAACACTCTGTATCACACAGTGGCCAAAAATACCAGGTGCCATCAGGAGGTCCAGCAGTAGGGCCAGGACATTAGAAGCCCTCCCACTGTTGACTCGCAGGGCTGTTGTGAGGATAAAATGGGGGGGGGGGA